CATCAGAGGGAAGACTGACACATTGCGAGACTGAGTGAGAATCTATTTTGTCAGATTACAGAGGTACGAACTGACAATTACAAAAAGATTATTATATTATTCTAGAAGGAATGCACCAGCTGCTTCTGACTGGTAAATACAGCAGAACTACTGTGATAGGTCAAAGAAATGGAACTATAACAATAACACCAATCTAATTTCCTCTCTAAACTGTTACTGATTAAAGCAACAACTTATTAGCACACAGGATTAGCTCACAGAAGAAAATGCTCTGTTCCTGTTGCAACTATGCAACTTCTAATGTATATGACATTCTACTTGACAATAAATACTAAGTAATTGACATTAAAGTATTATTTAAAACATGCACTTATATGAATCCTTTTGGAAGTACATGTGACTCTCCATTGCAGTGCTCCAAGCTGCAATTTGACTCTGAACCAGCTCCCCTTTTTAGCATCCAGTAGAACAAAGAAACGCGTCACACCAAAGTCATGCTCAAACCAGAAACCTGTGATGCCTTTACATTCTAAGTATATTAATCAGGTTATACTAAATATTAGTTTGCTTTGAACTCAAATATAAGTGTACTGAAGTAGTGTAATCAACAACAGCATGTAGGTATTAATAACACTGTGGTGGCATTGCCAGGGACAATGTGCGGGTTATGTCAGTCTGGAAATGATGGGAATGCCATGAAGAGGTGAACAAAGCCCTGTAGGCTTAGTTGCCTCATGGGTTAAACCAGAACACTAGTATATTTAGATTAATCCTGAGTCAGAAATCACTGTTTATTAAAGTTTCAGTTTAAAATTTACTCTTGCATCCTACTCTTTTAAGATACTACTTCTGTTTATGAATGCCCAACTCTTTTTCCCTATCATTTCCCATTTATACTTTAAGTAGTTACCTCAACTGAGACAAAAATCAGTGGTTTTCCATCTGGTCATTTTTTTCTCTGAACTACTTCACCATCTTAGCTGCCCCTTCTACCAACTCCTACCATCACTGTTGTGCCATCTTGCTGCTCAATCCAGCTGTTTCTCATTTTAAATGCCTTTTCTTTTATTGTTGAATATGATCTAAGTTCTGCCTCCTACCCTTGTTCACAGTAAACACTGTTTACCATGTGAAACCTTCATGTCACCTCTCCATGGTCACCTTTGGGCACCTCAGCAGAGAAACACAATCTTTTATAATTCTTTGCACAACGACTTCTTTGGATAGCAGCAAGATGCCTTGCATGACTGTCTCCTCTATCCTACTAACAGCAAAACTGTTGCCTCTTTAGAGTTCATCCATTTCAGGATGAGGCACATTTTGATAAAATGCAGGTAGACAAAAAATACTCGAGTGCTAATTTGTGTGGTCATTAAAGCACTCTTCTGTTTTAAATAAGCCAAATCCTGCATTACAGAGCTTCCATATAGCACTGAACCCAGAATAAAAATATATATATTTTTACAAAATTTTTTTTTCTACTCTTTCAAAAGGATTTTTAGAAAGAGGCAAGATATTAAAATAACATTAAAGTCTTTCATACAGTTAAAAGACTTTATCATTTTTTTAATGTACTTTGCAAAAGAAACTGAATACAACAATTACATGTAACCTTTTCCCCACACTTGGAAAGGGGCAGTAAGGTAAGTGTAACAAAGTGAGGAAATGTTGTAACACATGATGGTCACCTTCCCAAGGAGCTACAGAGTTACTGAAAATGTGTTAAAAACATATAAACGATTCATCTGAGTTTGTAGTGAGAGGTTTATTCTTTTTTTAGGCATTGTAATGGGAAAAATCTCTATCTTCTGGCAAAATAGATCTGGGCTTCACACAGGCAACAAGCAAATTTTAGCTAAATTTCTTTCAAAATTGAAGTATTAATGGAAAACTTTCTCTGCACAACTTGTCAATTTTCTGTTACTTTCTCTCCAAAATACAGAGCAACACATTTCACTCTGATGCTGCACACACACTTAAGCATCAGCTTTTCTGCTTTTATGAAGGGATTTTCATATCTGATCATCTCCCACTCCTCTGCCATCCTCCAAGTAAGCTGCCCTGCCCATTGGATTCATATTGGGTGCTTCCCAAAATTCCCCATGACTGTCATGTGAGCCCTGCCAGACTTGTCCTGCTCGGAATGCACAACAGTTTCCTGTTCTGCAGCTTCCCCACGTTTCTCTATGCTGGTTATAGAAGGAAGGAAAAGGTCAACACATCTCTGAAGCCAGAAGACATCAGTATCTTCAGAGTGTACATCAAAAACCAGAGGAGGATAATGCACATAAAGAGTATTTGGGGAGGAAAGGCAAGCAGAAGCAACACCACCCTTGTGTGCCTGTCACTCTCCCTCTTCCTATTTCAGTATTACCCAGGAAAGAATTCTCAGGCACCACAACTCTTCTCTTCCTTTTTCATCTCCTTAATCTTCCCCAGGGAGGGATGGATCCGTGTGTATCACAGAATCACAGGATGGTTTGGGTGGATAGGACCTTATAGGTCATCTTGTTACAATCCCCTGCCATGGGCAGGAACACCTTCCACTATCCCAGGTTAAAAGGTCCTCTCCAACACTCTTGCAGCCTCTCCAGGTACTGGAAGGCCTCAAAAAGTCACCCTAGAGCCTTCTTTCCCCAGGCTGAACAATCCCAATTCTCTCAGCCTTTCCTCATAGGAGAGGTGTTTCATCCCTCTAATCATCTTCATGGCCTTCCTCTGCAGTATATGCTGGATTTCCTGCCCGCTCACCAGAATCTTTCATTTCTTCTACTTTTTTATTCCTCTTATGTTCACTTTTGATATTAACATTTAAAAACTACCAATAGAAACTAGACATACTATTCCAAAGGGTGTCTGGCTGTCCTAAACACCTTAATGGCTTTTCAGATATTTCCCAAGGTATGTGGAGTTGCTGACTTATTTGAAGGCAATGGATCCATAACTCAAAAAGTACCTGAACAACAGGCATGCAAGAGAAAAATGCATTTAATTCCTTTAGAAGATCTGAGTACAGGGCTGTCATTTTACAAATTATTTCAGTTGTGGCATGTGCAGCACGAGATTTCAGATCAGTCCATACCAGTGTGTGTTTAACCTCATCACCTTTCTTTCCATTATGTGGTTAAAGCAGTTTTTCAGAGACACTTGAATCAACACATAACAGGTTCTTTTTTTTTCCCCCTAATTAAAAACTAAGTAATTTGTTATTTGAAAGTTATTTGCACATTTACTGGTAAAACCCCTCTCTGGCAGAGCATCTTATCTCACACTGCATCTCTAGACAAGGCCTTATGAGCTACACCACCTTTGGTAGAGCTGTAGCTTGTATTTTAGACGAGCTCCCAGTTGTGTGACACAAATGTGCTACCACTCTGCTGATCTCTTACATTCTCTTTCTGAATGCACAGTCCGAAAATAAACTCCAAAACAAGTCTGCTATTGTGGTGATCTGAACTGTTGCTCACTCAGTCTCAGGGACTCCTGATTTTGCCATTTTCTATAGTTTTCCTTTTCCTACAATAACAGCACTTTTCTCTCAGATAACTAACATTTCTCTGTTTAGACCAGGTATTATTTTGCCACATTTTGTCTGTAACCCTGGGGTTTTTGTTATTTTCTAGTCCTACTGTTATTTATTTAATATGCTGTTATTCATGCCACAGAATCTCATTTAATATGCCAAATAAAGAAGACTGCATCCTACTGGATGCTTCTGCTTGGCTATCTAAAAAAACTCCAAACAAAATCACACACATAGATATACCTGCCCTCCATATAACCTAGGAAAGATTTTAAAAAGTTTACTACACAGACTTCAAACATTTTAGCAAGTTCTTGAGTGCCTTGGCTACACTGAGAGCAGAGAGGCATATGCAGGATTTTTGTTTTTTACCTTTTTGATGGCTTACTAGAAATGCCCAGTGTGATGCAGTTTTCTGAAAGAGATTTTTGTCTTTGTCACAGCTTAGGACCCACACTAACACAACTCCTTCATGTTCCAAGCAATTTAAAAGAGCAAAAATAATAAAAAAAATAGTTTTATTAAACTGTTAGTAAGTACTGATATATGTGAATATCAGCTATCAAGTCAGTCAAGAAATATATTGGCCTATATAGTCTGTATTCTTCTGGTCATTAATGAGTGTCAGATTGGTTGCTGAGCAGCCAAACCACAAAATAAATCCTTATTCCAAATCAAGGGAAATGAAGGCACTTTCAGCTTCTCCCAATAGTTTTAGGACAAGTGTCTTTCTTGTTCTAAACTCTCTATTTTAGCAAACTCAAATGAAAGTTATCCTGTATTTAGCAATCACACACTTTTGTTTATATAAATACCAAATGCTTTTATGTTATTCTTTTGTTCCTTAATTGCAGTTCTCCTGTTCTTAGGTAGAAAGAGTAAAAGAAACAAGAATAAGAAATATTTGCACTGGCACTGCTATCCTTGCATTTGTGCAGATCTTGGACTTTCTCCTGCCCAGACACTATGAAGCTGCTTTGACAAATGGACTCTCTCATTGTGGAACAGCTCATCAATATACAGATCAGCATCACATCAACTTCTGGGCAAAGTTCTACTGCTCAAATCTAACAGTTGTGCAAGAGACACCAACAGAAAAATGTTTACAGAAAGATGGGTGACATAAACCTGATGCAAAACACTATTGCACTTGGCACTGTCACCCACTTTTCGTGGTCTAAGACAACTGACAGCCAAAGTGTACAAACACTTAGAATTTTGGTGGAGAGCTCATGAAGACACGGGTGTTTCATCACAGCATTACACAGATCTGCACACACACAAACAGCTCTCCACAAAGGGAGGGCACAGTGCAGTAAATGCACTCTGGGGTGTAGGTTCACACTTCAGGACGTACCTGCACTGCACCACAGCTCTGGCACACAGCTTCGGAATTCTAATGGGGTGGTGAGGACTGGCAACATTTGTGGGAAGACAGTAACACAGACACTTACACAGAGGAATGGAAGAGACCCACCTTGAGCAGCTCATAGTGCTGAATCCCATTGACACCGATGTCCGGATCGATGGCAGACGGGACAGAATAGCGAGAATTAATTGCTGTGTTTTCAGGGATAGAGATGTTAATCACTGTCGAGGGAAAAAGGGGGGCGTTGTCATTTATATCCTCTATTAGGAATCTGATCTTGACCAGTCTGAAAACTTCATCAGGCAAAACAGCCACCTCCACCTCATAGAAGCAGCGGTTCTCGCTGAAGATGCCGGCACAGAGCTTCTCCCGGTCGATGCGGTTTGCAGCCGTGAAAATCTCCCCAGTGTTCTCCTCTACCCTGACCAGTGGCACATCCCCAGTCTTGTACACGAGTTTGAACTGCAGTGGTGAGGAAAGGGGCACGTCTGGGTCCAGTGTTAGGTTAAGATCCTTGAGCAAATTGCCAATGAGGACATTTTCAGGCAGTTCTTCCCGCACGGTGTAATTCTTCTCCTGTGCACCAGATTGGAATACAATACAGGCTAACAAGACTGCCAAGAGGTAGGTTCCAGACAGCAAGTCCATCTCCAGAATGACTAATGAGTATTCGTGTAGAACACCAGGAGGAGCTGGAAAAAGGAAAAAAAAAATCTTAAAAACTTAGAGAATATTGGGTTCTTAAAGCAACAGAGACATGAAATGAGTACCTATCCTGTGGCAAACCACCTGAACTGTTTCAACACCCAATTAATAAAGGGGCATTTGACTTCATCCTTCATAAAAATGCATAACATTTCTTGCACAACTTTTTATTTGAAAATATTACTTAAACACTGAGGAAAGAATCTTAGAACTGGATCAGACTGAATGAAGAAATAAGTACAGAAATCCCTGTTTCCACCATGAGATATTCCTTTCCTCCTTGGGAAAACTTTTTCCTTTGATCCCTCTACCACATTGTCCTCAATTTTTTTTGTTTGCAAAGAAAAAAGTAGGCAAGAAGTTTTCAAGAACCATCTGCTGAGAAACAGATCTTTTTATACCTCTTGCTTAAAAGATGGGAAACCAAAAACACTTGTCTTAATTCTCCCCCAAGTTTTTCACTGACAAAATTATGTAATGTTTGTTAACAACCACAAAGAAATCCAGCTATTTTTAATTGAGGAACTTAAACTGGCAAGAAAAATGTTATCTAGGTGGATGTCTGGTGAACTTCAGCCAACAATGGGTGGAAATGTGTCTGGTGAGCTGTAAGAAATTTCCTATGATTTTAAATCTCTGTTCATATATAAGCAAAGTACTTTGGAATACCAATACCTTTAAAGTGAGATAAAGATTTGTTCTGAACGGAAGAAAATTCTGTACTTTTCAATCTAGGTTCTGAATAACAATGTATTCCCTCTTTAGATTATTAACAACCTCCAGAAAGGTGGAAGTAGAATGGGAGGATAGAGGTAAATAGAGATATCTGTGTATTTACATACAGCCTTCAGCCAAGAACTTTGAAGAGAAAAATCCCACTGTTGAACTCCATGTAGAGAATATGCTACTTTGCCTAATCTTTACATAATTCTGCCATTCCAGAATTTAGGATCTTCTGGAAAAACCTTTCTGTAAGGTACAAGAGTTCCATGTAAAACAATTTTTCTAGTTAATGTAATCTTAGCTCCTACCACCTTAGCATATGTTTCAAATATACCTGTACTAACACATCTACACTCTTTTCATTGTGCAGGTAAAAATGTAATTTTTTTTTCCTGTCTCTTCTCATTTTATTCTCCCTGTCATAGCACAGATTGATTTACTCCTGCAGATCAAGTTGCAGCAGTTGAAAAAATTACTGAAGCCAGTAATTGCCTTCACCTGTTAGTTACTGCCTTTCAGCAGTGCCACTTTCAGGGTAATTTAAACTACAACATTTGATTTTGCAGTGAAACAGATTAGGAACAATTAATATTGCTATTCCATTTGAACACTGTGAACTGCTTTGGACTGGGAGTAAGCAACAGATAAAGAACATTCCAACTAGATCTGCAAGGTGCATCTTTCCACGTCAGCATGATTTAACTGCAAAGCATTTTCTGGCTTTTATGGTTGTACAAAAGGAGCAACATGAAGTAAAAATCCAATGCTGCAAGTCTTCACTTATGAAAAAAGGCATTGCTCAGTGAGTAATTCAATTAACCTGGAGGAGATTGCTGACAGAGGGGAGAACGGGGCGTGCAGTTTGCGTTACCTGCAGCCATTTACATCAGTGATTCACTGAGGTGTTTGCAGCACTTCAGGAATTCAGTGTGCAACAATTCACAATACAGCACTAACCAGGCCTCCAGGAGGGAACTAACAGTGTAGGATAAACAGCCAGTTTATAAATCCATTATAATATTAAATTCTGAATATGCAAATAAGGAATCATCAGCAGATCCTGATTAGCATCACTGGTAACACTATGGCAGCAGCGTGAGCTTAATGAAATAACTGTGGTGATGTTGTACAAGGATATTAGTTTGAGCATTATGATTTTATTTATTAACTGTCTTATACTTCTTTAAATACATGTCCAGCAATTGTCACCCCACCAAAGTAACTGCCCACATACTTCAACCTGCAGAGAGCTCTTATTTCAGGAAAGTACATCTTTGTATTCACTATCATTAGAATAAATATATTTACATTGTTTCCTATGAAAAAACACAAATAAAAATGTGTGGGTCACAATTAAGAGTTGGTATTTAAATGTTGTCCTGAAAATAAAATTTCAGAATGGTTGCACTTTCTGTGCATACTGGAAAGCATTGTTTTGCCACTTCTCCTTCTCTATCACAAGTTAAACTGAAAAATAACAAAATAGGGGTAAAAATCCCATTACATCCTGATGTTTACAGAGTAATATTTTAAAATTACAATTAATTTCTTAGAGGAGGAAATTAACAAAACAACAATAACAGCTATAAATATAAACTAAATTCCAGGCCCTATCTCAAATTCTTCTGTGACAATATTGATGTACATATTGCTTATAAATCATAATAATATAAAAATATTGTATAGTAAGGTATATAAATCTTCCAAATAAATATTCTTACATTATAAAAGAAACATTTTTATTAGTAAAAAGCTATGAAGGTTACACCACTCTGCTCTCCCTAGTTTTGAAGATATGAGGAGTTTTAGCCACACTCGAAATCTTGTGTTTTATCTGTCAAGTTTTACAAAGCAATATGAGGATGAGTACATAAATGAAACAGTCTAAAGAGTTCATCAAAAACTTTCCCAAATCAATTCTGAAAGTTGTGATAGTACCAGTAGATTATTTATATTAAAAATAACTGATAAGATTTCCCATAACCCCAGTTTTAACTGCAGTGGATTTTCCAGGGATTATAAAATAACAACAGCAGGACTCAAAGAGGTTTGCCAGAAAAACCACAGGGTGGAACTTAGCATTACGTTCCTATGCATACTTTTATTTACTTTTTTAATTAAACAAAGTTTGAACCACTCTATTGAAATTACTTTTGTGCCATAATGAAGAAAATACCTTAAAGCATGAAAATGGCAGAACACCACTCTTATAAACCACGTCAGACAAATGCTAACATGACTTTTTGTAGTGTCTTTTACTGTCATCGATTTTCCTGAATGACTAAAGGGTATAGACATCTAATAGGCAGTGTCAGGACTTTCAACAGGAAAAACCATCCAGCAATGGCCTGCAATTCTTGTAAGAATTCTGAAGAATATACTATTTTTTAATGGTCTTTACCTCTTTCTAAACAATTCTAGGAACAGTTTTTAACCTTAAAAAAGTGTTCTAGAGATGTAGGCCTTTAAGGAGAGGGAAAAAAAAAACCAACATGACTGAAGTTTTCTGCTTAGATATAGAGTAGAATATCTTATGTCGTGGGGAAAGAGTTGTTCTTACAGAAACCTATTTATATAGTCATAGCTGTATGTTGCCTGTCATTTGTGCCATAGCACTGACAGCAATACTATGGCAACAGCAATGCAAAGGAAAAGAGCATGAGGTACTTTCTAGCAACCAAGCATCATCCTGAAAGACATTTATGAAATCAGAGTATTTCAGACTGGAGCACAGAGGAAACAAAAAGTGCAGAAGGCTAAATAGAATAGTTCAACTCTAAAGGACCTTTCATAAGTTCCAGCACTCACTCACACTTTTAATGCAGTAAAAAAAAATTCAGAACAAATAAAATTGTTTAACAGAAGGTAACATTAGGCTTGCCAAGCCATTTTCCCAGCTTTCAAAAGAAAGCATTGATGTCTGTGCTGCTGACTTCCCAACTAGAAAGGCAAATGGCCCAGATGGACAAGATGGAGGGTAGGAGGGGGAGAAAAAATTTGAAACTTGCTCTCCTTCATCTGACTATCTGTGCACTTAAATATACCTGGGTTTTTTGGTCCAATATACCAAAGCCTAATGGTGTCATTTAAATATTACCACTGCTCATAATTACCTTCATTTAGCAGCTGTCAAATTACACCTTGAAAAGCAGAGAGAATATAAAAGCTGTAACCACCTAATGGAGTAGGTTGTGAAGGTAGAATCTAAATCTGTTCCTTACACACAAGGCTCCAGCTGGTCCCATCTGAGTCCTTTGGCTTATTACAGGACTTGTTATTTCTTCCTTAAGAGGATCACAGAAAAGTAGTAAAAGGGGTAAAGAGTTCAGGTGTCCACATTAAGAAGCAACACTATTTTTTTATACCTGGGCTCAGGTTTGATTTAGAGTAGGAACAAATAATCTGTGGTAATATTTTGTAATTACTATATCAAGTTTAAAGAAAAAAGTATTGTATTTAATGAATTAGGAATATTATGTTGAAGTCCAAAACTACATCAATACCCAATTATTGAAATCATAGTAGAGAAGAAATCCTGAAAATATCACTCCCATTCTTATCTTCATATTCCTGAACCTATTTTAATTACTTGGACAAATTTAGCTAGGAGACCACACTTTTTCAATATAATATTCTTTTCATTTGCTGCTAATCCACCATGGGCTCCTTAAATAGGAGTGTTTAAATCCCTGTATTAAAATGGTGTTTCTCAGAGCAAAAGATCTTCATGACACGGGCTCTATCTGTCAGTCAATACCATGATTATAATGTTATTTAACTGAGAGGGAGCTCTTTGCAACTATTCCACTTCACAAAGGTTCCCTCTAAAGTGCCAAGTGACAGCTCTATGCACAAGCTTTGAATCCTTGAACCATGCTGGTGTGGATTTCAACTTCATCCTGTAGATCTCACCTGCTGGATTGTTAGGTAGGAACTTTCTGATACTGCAAATTCTTAGTGTTTGGTGTTTTAGCTGTTGGATTGTTTCTTTGCTTGCCATAAACCACCACCATGGCTGCACACAGGCAGGTTTCATTAAGGAGCTGGCTGGTTTTGATGGTGCTTATTTTTAAAAAGATAGAGAATTAACAGATATTTCTTACTGGTTTTGGTGACAATAAGAAGCACTACAAAGCCATTGCCTGACAGAAATCCCTCTCATTTTTTTAAGGTTAGACACAAATTATAACAAACAACCTGAACTCATCTTCACACTTTATAGTATTTCAAACATAAATTATTTTGCAGCCATAAATATTTATCC